CTCCTTCTCAGGGTCTTTCACAGAGTGACCTTCCCTGGCATCACAACCCTGGTCTATCAAGGCACCAGCGTGGAAACTGAAGCCTCAAAACCTGAACAGGATGAGAAATGTGTAACCTTTGGAGAATGCTGGAGCCGACGTGATGTTTCAGAGCCAGCCTCTATTCTTAGAAGAGTGGTGAAAGTCATAATTTAAAAATAAGATCCAGTGCAGTGCTAGCAAAGAGTCATATTCATGGTATTCCTGTGAGTAAATCTCTCAACACAAATTGGCTTGACTTCAAGCTCAGAAACATTCCACCAAAATAAGGCCCAGCCATGAGGCATCTACAGTACTGATCTGAATGGGAGAGGAGTTCATATGGCACTTGTTACATCAGGTGGGTGACCACCTCCCTCCCTTCCCCCTAAAACTCATGCCTGTAGTTTACTCAGTGTTATAGCTCAAACAAGATTTTCAAAGGCCCTTATAGGAGTTACCCAATGCAAGTGGGTATATTCCCCCACATGTATATATTCCCACTTTTGAAAGTCCTCCCTGGTACTTAAGCAGCTGCTGTTGTTTTGCTGTCTGGTGGGGAATACATGCTGCCTTTACACTGTTTACAGCCATTTCTGACTGTTGTGTGTTCCTCCTATTTCTGGTTTGCATCTGAGTTACCTAATACTGTGTTTTAACTAGGAATCTCTACACATCCCCTTTAAGGATTGTGTTTAATAAACAAAGCGCCTATTTCAGTCTGGCTTTGAGCAGAGATGGCCACAGATCCATGCTTATGGGTTAGAGCTAGGATGAACTGTGTGGGGAGCATCCGATTCATAATCATTTTATCAGAAGGAAAAAACACAGAACTAGCTGTATTCAAATCCTGTTCATCTGCTGCGTAATTGCTGTTTGGATTTTGAGGTTTTCCTCAGAAGCCTCTCTCATTTTTTATAGCCGCAACTGGATGTAGGGCCTAATCTTTTCCCATTTGGGTCATGTAGAATTTTTCCAATAGCTTTAACTGGAAGATGCTGAGACCTTAAAGTTTCCTCAGGTCAATGTGAACTTCAGTTAGGATCATGCCAACAAGTGAAACGCTGGATTTCACAATAACATATCTGTGGAGCTGATCCGGTTGTTTTACTCGCCATGTAATCCAGTCCCACCAGGGTGAACTGAAGCCCACGTGTGAGTTACACTGCTGACAGGCTGGTTTATCCTAAGCAGAAGTGTTCAGCCATCTGTGTCATGTGGCCTGGCTCTATAGTCTGAGCCATGCCTGTTAACTCCTGAGGCCTATGCTGCCCAGTGACGCTGGCAGGAGTCTTGGATGAGTAAGCAAGTTATTCTTTCCTCTAATGAAGTTATTTGATTGTTCTTGTATAGAGCATTTAAACTGTAAAGCAGTTTTAGACAAGCTGCTACCAAAGCCACACATCTCATTTCAGAGATTCACACTGCAGTTTTATGAGGCAAAGAGTCAGCTACTTCTGAAAAACAGTCAGAAGATAGAAGAAGCCAGAAGTTAAAGAAGTCAAGAGGGTGTGTAATGAGCATTAGTAATTCAGATAAAAGACAGAACAACTTAGTGAAGAGTTCACATTTTATTGTTATTAAAAGTTCATTATGAAATTGGCACAACACAAAAATAGATCTGTGGTGAATGATACATATTACTATTATTGCTGGGTCATTCTGTGCACACCCTCACTTTTTGAAATCAGAAGGTAATGAATATAAGACATTTCATCAGTTAACTGCAAAACCAGTGTTACTGCAGCAGAGAGAGGCTGTGCTTTCTGTTGACTCTATCAAGTGGATAGAGCAGACAGAAATAGTCCTCTATTCATACTTAAAAATAAAATCAGGAGAATGAAAGAACAGATTTTAGAGTATGCCCCAGCTGAAAATAACCAGAGAGGGAGAGCTAGAAATACCCCTTTTCTTATGGACCTATTTCCATGAAAGTCAAAGGGATATTTGCCATGGATTTTAAAAGCAGCAGGATGTAATTTGTTGACAGACAGATGGAGAGGCCTAGAAACAGAAGCTAGGGAGGACCTGTGGCCAAGTGTGAGTTTATTATTTTGATCTTGCACATGTTGCTGAATCTCCCTGTTGTAGTAATTGTGTGTGTTCCTAACAGCAGTGATTGCTGGGCGGAGCTGGGAGGGTGTATCAAAGCCAGATAAAGCGTCTGCAGCTCATTTTTCTCCCTGTTTGGGTTGACCTTGATGCTAACCCCAACACCTTTCATTGCAAAGTGACTTTTACCTGTACACTTTTTGATCTACATGAGAAAATCAGAACAATACCCATGATTACAAAAAAAACCTCACCAGGTCACTAACTGTTCCTAGACCCATGTAGCTTTTCTTCCTAACTGAAGTGCTTGTCAAAAGAGCATTTAGCCCTAACTCTTGTTCCTCATACTGTTACCTGAGATCCAGGGGTGCTGGGAGGTTGCATAGAGTGCTGCTAACTGGCTCAGCAGAACTGTGGTTCTGTAGTTTTCTGCATGGAAAGGTCACTGTAACCAGCCTGAGTGCAGAAAGCAGTGCTGTAGATTTCGGTGGGAAGCACTTCTTATGGGTGGGAAGCAAGATGACCCTCACATCAGATACACTGCTTGAATGTCTGCGGGAAAAAAAACACCTTAGTGGCATGGCTACTTCTAAATTTTCGTGTTATTTATTTGAGAGCCTCTTTTAAAGAAGGTGAGTAGGAACATGAACCCATTTGTACCTTCCAAACCTGTAAGCAAGACTGTGTTTTTGCTGCGTGCCCTGGTGTGGGACTGCAGAAGGCAGCAGCAAACAATGCAGCAAATGCCCATCCTTGGGAAACTCATGCAGCTCCACAGCCTGTGCTCTTGGCTGGCTCCGAAATGCCTGCTGCCTCCCTCTGAACTCATGCAAGCTGTAAGACCACAGCACATCTTGCCTCCTCAACACTGCTACCAGGCTTGGGAGCGCTGTGGCTACTCTGTTGCGGTTTCCTACATGGTGAATAGTTTTAAATCCTGAAAGAGAAAAATCTCAGTGCTGCTCCCTTACATTAAGATCTCAGAGCTTCAGTCTCGGCCTCAGAGCAGGAGAGTGACAGGGGTGGAAAGCTGGCACAGCAGAATAATGAATCAGGCTCTCCCTTTGGTTTTCGGGTTGTTTACTCAAAACAGCCCTTGAGAAAGATGCTATGCCTTAAGCAGATGTCACATTCAACCGGTTTAGCAGTATTACGCCTATTTGTTCTCAAACTAGTCAAGGAGGAGAGGGAGAATATATGTTAGTGCAAGTTCACATAGACAACATATGAATATTTAGTACAAAATGTTCCTTCAAGGTGGGGCAAACATTTCTAATTGTGACACAAAACGAAGGTATTTTGGAACATTTTTACCAACTTGGCTGTGAAAAAGTGTTTATGTGAAACATGTTTAGCACAAACTACCTCACATGATACTGAAGTATTTCAAGGCTCTTTCTGAGTAGGCAATAACTTTTTTTTTTTTTTTTAAATTAAAGCAGCTTTATCACAGCCAATTCCAGACATAACTAAATTTGGTTTCTGTGTTGTTTTTTTTTAATTTGTTTTTCCTCTTTGGAAAAAATAAAGCTATGCTAAGTTGAGGGATTCTACTCCACGTGGGTTTTACCCATTCAAGGCTTCTTTCATTTCAGAATTAACTTCCTCATTCAGAGGAAACCACAGAAATATTCAGCTAATAAATTCTAGCATGATTTCAAAACACTCTCACTTGGTCCTGAAGAATTGCAGCTTCCAAGAAACTCACAGACTACTTATCCCTACTGAAAAACATTTTGAAAACCAGGCCCAATTTGAAAAGTCTTATTTCAGATCTGGGAGGGTGTATATCCAAAATAAAGATCTGAAGAACCCCTAAATTGTGGAGACCAAAAAATTCAGATATAAATTTTGCAGCAGAGTCTCCCTTCTTAAATATTTGGATTTGGCTCAAAGTCCAACTGAACAGAAAAGTTTTAAGGCCTCGGTTCTCTCTGACTTACACTATACATCGCTGTGTTCAGCAGCACTTTCTGACCATGGTGTCATGGTTGTCTGACCAAGCATGTGTGCAACAGCCCTCAGATATGTAGACATCATCCTTCCTTCACCTGCCACAGCCTGGTACTGCCCAAGAGCAAAAGAAAGAAAAAAGTCTTCCAAACTGGTGTTAGACAGACAAATGGATGTGGAAGCTGTAACTGTGACTTTCTGCCCTTTACTGAGCTCTCAGCCAAACCACAACCCATCAGAAGTGGGTTCACAGCCCTTCTTGCCTCGAAGCCTGGCTCAGAAACCACAACAGGGCAGAATCAGGTGGTGGGCGCTGCAGTTGGTGGAGTTATGCAAAGGCGAAATCAGAATGGGTTTCAAAAAAGCATTTTCCCAAGACACAAAACTACTGGAGCAGAAACAACGGGAGCGCCCCGCACAGCATAGGCAAGGTGGTATCACTGCGCCCAAGGCTGTCACTGGACCTTTGCTCCTGACAGAGATGCCATCCCTCATGATGGTGAGTGGAGTTCATCTCTGCATCTCTGGCCTTGGCACTGTGCTGTGCCAAGCCTGTGCAGGATAGGAAAAGTCCGAGGGCTGTGCTAACCTACTTCTGCTACCAGGAATCCCAAGCAGCTGAAAATTCAAGTCAGATAAATCACTTTTTTCTGCGCTACAGTAAAGGCAGGGAGGGGAAATTCCTACTGGTGGTGTGCTGTCAAAAAGACAGATCCCTTTTGGTTTTGTGCTACTGTAGGGTCACAGCGCCGCTTACTCTCTCCAGCCTCCTACTTCTGGCCCACTGGAGTAGCAGGACAGCCTCAGAGCATGGCACTGCATCAGCAAACCTGGCTTTACGTATCTAGTTGGAGAAAATGCTAGGCAGGGAGGGTGCTAAATATCTCTCCAAACAGAATTCGTCATCTGACTGCATCTGCTTTGGAACCAGAGAACATTTTCAAGCTGGAGAAAAATCCAAACACCTCGTGTAGAAGCACCTTTCCCTTGGATTTTTATTATCATCATCATAATTTTTAAGAATATATTTTGTACCAAAACACTGTCAGCATTCTTTATACAATGGAAAATGACACAGTCATCATGTATCATGTAAAAGAGTAAAAACAGAGCAAGACAGGAACATTTAATATCAAGATTCAATCTGGAGTACAAATAGAATCTGATGTACAACTTAAAAGCCACACACCAGATAAAAAGATCATCTGGAAAACAACAGGTTTACTCTTAATTTGGAAAAAGGAGGAAAAGTCAGGGAATGTCAATGTTAAGGCTACAAATTCCTTTTTAAACTTGTATTTTATAGGCGGCAGCATGATTCTTAACTCATCTGCAGCAGCAACACCCCCTTGCTTTGCAAAGAGATTTGCACTTACTTGAAATAAGAATCAGGCTTCTGTACTCAGAGGACTCTGATTGACCTCAACAGGCTTTGGACTAGAGCCACAGTTGGAATTTCAGCTTGCAGTCTAAGGCTTCTTAACTGCAGGCCAAATTAGCACAAAATGAGGCTTTGCAACTGGCATTCTACCCTTAACTTTGGATATTCCAGTTCTGGTTGCTTTAAACCACAGCTTTATTGCAGGTTTCACATAGTTTTGTTTGAGAGATTCTTCTCTTTTTTTTTAATACTGTGTTACAAAGGATGTTTTTGTATTCTGTGTCTTAGAATGTCCCTATACTACATGTTTTCAAAATTGCCTAAATATATTTTTATATCATAACTACTCCAAAAGACCTGTTATAGTCTATTGTGAGCAGCCAAGGAAAAAAAGTGTATTTAGTCCTAAAGAAGTCAAGAAAAGTGTCTGTGTTCATTTATAGTGTAGTGCAATGACTGTGTTTATACAGCTATACCTACTATTTTAAAAGCTACTTGAAAAGTTATTATTCTTGTGCAGTAGCTGCTTTTCAAGCATTAATAACTTGGCTGTCTAGACAAGTTTTGTCATATCAAAGGCCGAATACATTCTCAAACAAGTGCAAAAAATCTCCCATCTCCCTTGGAAAGAGGCTGGTTCTCTTTCTGAACTAGGAGACTTGACAAATTTAACTTTTTCGCAGATTGTAAAAGCCCAGTTAAACCTACAAATGTACTGTTTAATTTTTTAAAATGGAACGACTTCAATGCAAACCTATCCTGTGCAGCAAAGTTACTAAGCCCTGAAAAACAGTTTCTAGTGAATATGCAAAGAGTTCTCCCCACCCCCACCAACTACCATGCCCACATTTTCCCAGGGCCTAGAGGGCTCCATTAAAATGTAACTAAATGTTTGATTTTTCAAGAATTATATGCAAAGTTTACCCAAAGAACCTAAGACATTTTGTACATTCAAAATGTTTACACTTTGCTGTCTTTAACCATCAGTAAGATTGTTCATTTATACCAATAATACATACAATGAGTATAAATAAATAAACTACAGATAAGCTTTAAAAATTGTATTAACAATACATTGTGCAAAAACTCGTAACAATCTACATTCTATGCAAATACCCTGACTAAAACATACAGGCTGTGTCCTCACACCCTCATACAGTTTTTGCACAGTCCTTGGGTCAGATCAGCAGCTGGAAGCAATCGGCAAAAGTCCATTGCAAGCCATGGAGGTAATGCTGATTTACACCAGCAGAAATGCTGACCACAAGGGGTGTGCAAAAATCCCATAGAAATCAGTGGGAGTTGTGCTTGACTAAGGACTAGACAGTTTGATTGTACCCCGTTAAAGTGAGTGGGAGTTTTGCCCTTGATCTCCATGGAACCAGGCTCAGGCCCTGGGTAAGGACATCAGCACGTGGCCCTATGTTGTGCTACACTACTCCACTTCAGTGCAGAAACAATATTTGCAAAGAAAAAGTTGTTGTTGTTGTTGTTGTCACTGCTGTTCGGTAACCGTTTTTTGTCCTGCATTTCAGAAATTACCTTTCTGTGAGATTTGAGACAAGACTGCAAGTCTTTCTGAATCCATTCCAATTTGATTATCCAGCACAGGTAGGCTATTTTGATCCAAGAAAAATGGCTCAATGTGTATTAACCAACAATGTTCTTCATTAGGATAAACAACAGCCTGGTTCATCGGCACAGGAGTGAAGAACTGCATGTGGAAAAGGAACAGGGCAGCCTTCCTACCATAGCTGTGTCCAGAGCCAGCTGTCGCTTCTCCAAACGGATGATGGCACCTGAGCTGGTTTGGAATCTGCCGTCCTAACAAGCTCAGCCAAGTTTTGTAAGCTGAAGATCTCCATTTATCTTTATCGTGTCAATCGCTGACAGTGTTTCAATACGGTGGTAAAAATCAAAGAGCTGATGTCCATCCACAAATATTCTAAAACGAGGATGCTCGCAAAGTATCTCAACCTGTAAAGATAAAATGATGGAGCATGTTGCTCACAGTGTAACTGGGAAGTTATTTCACAGAATACAAAGAGCACTTCATTAGCCTTTACATAGTGTTGGTGCAGTTACACTTTTTGCTACCTACATGCCACATGACAGGCACGGCTGCGACCAGTTTGCCCCCGTGACACCAGTTATTCTATGATGGATCTGCTCTTACTTCACAGTGACATTAATCCAATCTCACACTGTTGTGGTGGGAAATACTCTGGAGCCCAGTCCCACTGGCATCAGGGAGGTTTTGCCTCTTGGAATAATGCCAGAAACAGACTCAAACTGTTAATTACAGGAGGAAGAAAGGGTATCTCCAACCCAAATCTTGCATTCCTTGCTATAGATTTTTTTTTTTGCTGGAGAATGAGGGGGCAGTTTCCTCTGCAATGCTTTCCACACTTCTGTTAATTTACTGGAAGGAAGCGAAGACGAGAGGAGGGATAGGTTTGCCCACCCCTCCCACACATACTCACAGAGCTGCTGCAAAACTAAAAAGCCTTCACTGTTGTGGCTGCAGACAGCCCAGGACTCCCTGTTGGACTAGACTCCATACTAGGGCTGCAGTGAAGGAAATGTGGTGCAGGATGGCTTGAATGCAGTTAGACAGTTCACACGGGCACAAACAGGATCAGGGCTTATCCCTTCTCCTAGAGCCCTGCAGAAATGCTCTGGAAAAGCAACAAAGCCTGGAGCTGAACAGGCTTGGACATGTTGACATGATGTCAGGGGTGGCTTGAGAGGGTGCCCTGTAGTTAAGCTTTGCTAGAGCTGCCCCGGCAGGAAGCAGGGATAGTGCACTTCTTGTACAGGCCCTCTGAGACCTCCCGCTCCAGACAGGCTAAGAAGAAAATCTGCAGGGAAGCCACGTATAAATCCTGGGTCATTTCAAGAGACTGGTAGACTGAAGCAAAGTGCTGCTTCCAGGCACTTGACTTTGCTGCTATTACAGTGTATAAAAATGGGAACAGGGCCAGCGATCAACTGAGTGAGCCAAAGCCCGACTGACTTCAAGCATGTTGCAGCGGGAGAAGCAGCAGTGGACAGTCCAGGAGAGCTTAAGCTCTTGGGGACCTGGTAGCGCACCACATAACAGGGAAGTGCCCATGCTGCCACGTAGTGCCTGTGTCACTGCAGCAGGTGCATCCTGCCTTAGGCCTTGTTATGTAAAAGATATGGTTAGCCTCAACACTGCTTATGATCCATTTTTTCAGATCACCCTGGGCCACGCCAGAACCATAATTGGATCACAAGTAATTGGCAAGAACGCTTAATGGTCTATTGTATTCACATCAGAGGTACAAAGTCAATTGGGAGCCTAAATTCCGTTTGTGCATTTGGAGAGGAAAAAAAAAAAGAGAGGGGGGGAAAAGAGAAGAAAAAGAACAACTCCCTTTCTGCCGTATCTCATGCCAAACATGAGAATTTCTATCCTCTAATGTCAACTGTCATTAGTAGAGCACCCACAAAACATGCTCTGGGTAATTTGTCTGGCTTGTCTGAGGGCCCAGGCACCACCCACCGTAGCAGGTGGCATAACCCTCTCAGCCAGAGGAGGACCAAGCCTCCAAGCCCTTTCAAGTGCATTTCCCACATGCACAAAAGGGTGTTGCCAGTTCTGATGGGAGAGTTTGTAGAAGCAAGTAGAGCACAACCAATTCACAGCAAAACCAGACAAAAACACCCTTTCAAAGCCCAAGCATCTGGGGAGACAGTGAGCTTTTGGGGTTGGGGGAGATTATCGTAGGGGCAAGATGGATTAAGAGAGTTTGGCAGCTGGTCAGAGCACTGGCATTTAGCAGAGGGGCCAGCGAGGTTTCATAAGAGGGGTGAGGAGGAGGAGGAGGGTTTTTCTGGGTCATCCGCATGGAGAAGGCATGCAGCCTTTTTTCCTCAATGTTGTGAAGCTGCTGAGAGAGAAGCAGCCCTCTGCAGCTGCATACTTTGTTAGTCCTGATTTGCAAAGACATCTTCATATAACCATAAACACTACAGATGGGAATCTGCTTCTAGGTCAACCCAGTCCATCCCTCACACCACAGCATTTTCACGTACGCCATTTTCAAGTGACTATAGACTTCACTTTGACAGGAGATTTAATCCCAGGGTTCAGAGAAGAATACCACTATTGCTTAGCTGTTTAATCTGCTAACACAAAGGGCTACGGTCAACCTCAGTGTAACATCCCTGGAGACAAAGGATGAACAAGATCCTTATTAGCTGTGCTAAATTGGAAACACTATGTCCATTAAAAAAAACATCAAAACATAGGGCAGTCCCACAGTGTAGTTCCATTCTCCAGTAATAACTTGTAATGCACTAATAACATAGAGGTACTTTTTAATTTATAGCTATAAAACTAAGCTCAGGAAGTGTGCTGCATCACACATTATTACAGCCTCTGACTTGTCATAGCACCCCAGTAAGGTGTTCACAGCCCCATCTGAACTGCGTGTTGCAGGCAGCAGCAGGATCTCCACAAAACTTCTGATCAATACAAATGATCTGGCAACTGGTAGCTGGAGAACTGGGGCTACACTGTGATTTCACAAGAGGCGAGTCATACTCTGCCGCAACTCTGATCACATTACACTTTATCAGATACGGTGCTCTGCTGCTGTCATCCTGGTACTCACCCTAAAAGGCTGGTCCGGTATAAATGGAAAATAAGGAATAGACGATTGCTCTTCCCCCCATTCTCCGGCTACACAAGAATTCCTGACAAATTGTCTGTCTGTAAACACAGCTTTCAGTTCAATGGCCACATCTGCAGGAGGATCTTCCGACTCCCCGCAGGTCAGACTGATGCCAAAGCTGCAACACAAATAGAACAGCTCTCCTTCAGCCAGAAAGCAGCAAATAAGCCCCAAATGCCACCAGCCTAATTTCTCAGCTTATTAAAGCCACTGATGGTATAGTGACATGGGGGGTGGGGAGCAACGGCTCAGCTTGTCCATGGAATGACCCGAAAGCTCAGCAAGGACAAGGACATGGTTGCAGCATACATACATGTATGTATGTGTGCATGTGCATTGAGCATATACGTGTATATATATGTGTGTGTATAAACATATATAGATATGCTCTAGATGCTCCTTTACTCCCAAGTGAAATGCTGGGAAAGAGGATCCCTTAAAGAAATGCCCCCTCTATGGGTCAAAGGAGAAATCAGCACACTATATTTAAAATTATAAAAATAATCCCTCTTCAGAAAGGAGGGATCTGTGTGTATGTACGTGTGTGCTTCTGTATGTGCGTGTGTGTCCCCCTCGCCTCCTCCCCAGGCCCAGTGCCCCCGGGGTGGGCAGCTCTGCCCAGGTGTTACCTCTCGGGGTTGAGGTCCACTATGCCCATAACTAAGATCTTCTTTCCCGGCCTCATTCCTCCTTTGATGTGCCCACAGAAGGGGACGATCTGGAAAGGACAGGGGGGAGGGTGGCGAGGGTCAACTCGGCATCAGCAGCGGACGCCCTTGTGCAGCCGGGGCGGGGAGGGTGGAGGGTAAAGGGGTTAAAAAACCCAAAAAAGGGGTTAACACCCTCCCCCCAAACAAATCCAAATAAAGGTGATTTACCAGGCGAGGGAAGTACACATCAGCTTGCACTGGGGATCCCAGGGAGTTGTTTAAATGCCCGTCCTCTATTTTCTGCAGATAAAAAGGAGCGTACTGAGGCAGGGGCAGGCGAAGCTCCCGCCTC